TATTTATTTATTTTATTTTATTTTATTTTTGAGACAGAGTCTCGCTCTGTTAGCCAGGCTGGAGTGCAATGGTGTGATCTCGGCTCACTACAACCTCCCTCTCCCAGGTTCCCGTGATTCTCCTGCCTCAGCCTCCTGAGTAGCTGGGATTACAGGAGTGCACCACCACACCTGGCTAATTTTTATGTTTTTAGTAGAGACAGGGTTTCATCATATTGGCTAAGCTGGTCTCGAACTCCTAACCTCAAGTGATTCACCCACTTCAGCCTCCCAAAGTACCGGGATTATAGGTGTGAGCCACCGCACTTAGCCCTTTTACAAATTTTTTTAAAAAAAATAGAGACAGGGGTTCACTATGTTGCCCAGGCTGGTCTTCACTTCCCGAGATCAAGCGATCCTTCCACCTCGGCCTTCCAAAGTGCTTATAGGCATGAGCCACTGCACCAGGCCCAGAATAAATTTTAATGTGGTATAAGCATGCATTTTAAACTACTTAGGTGGCTCCATGGCTCATAGACATCCTACGTATTTCCTTTCTCTTATCAATAAAGAGAGGTGATTTATCACATAGAGCCTGGCCAAAGTTGTTACAGTCCAAAATATTTGCTTCACAGTTGCTCTTGAATTAAGCCTGATCCTATAAAGGCAGGTTCATGTTTGTTATTTCATTTTCACTTTTATTTATTTATTGTTTGTTCGTCCATTTGTTTTGCAACAGCATCTCACTCTGTCACTCAGGCTGGAGTGCAGTGATGTGATCTCGGCTCACTGCAACCTCTGCGTCTCAGGTTCAGGAGATTCTCCTGCCTCAGCCTACTGAGTAGCTGGGACTACAGGCATGCACCACCACACCTGGCTAGTTTTTGTATTTTTAGTAGAGATGAGGTTTCATCATGTTAGCCAGGCTGGTCTTGAACTCCTGACCTGGTGATCTGCCCACCTCAGTCTCCCAAAGTGCTGAGATTACAGGCATGAGCTGTCACACCCAGCCAAGCCTCACCATGTTGACCAGGCTGGTCTTAAACTCCTGGGCTCAGGAGTTTAAGTTCCTGCCACAGTCTCCCAAAGTGCTGGGACTTAGAGATGTGAGCCAGCATGCCCAGCCAAGGCCTGTGTTTTTGTACCACATGCCCCCACCTGCTCTCCATCACTGGCCACGACCTATTGGGTCAGGGATAGGCACTTGACCTGGAGACAATCAAACGACTGACTGGTCAGAAGTCCACAGGGTAGCCTAGCACAACAGGCTCTCTCTGATGGTGGTGATGGGTGCACAATATTGTGAATGTGCTACATGCCACTGAATTGTTCACTTTAAAATTGTAACAGGCTGGGCGTGGTGGTGCATGCCTATGTTCTCGGCACTTTGGGATACCAAGGTGGGAGAGCTGCTTGAGATCAGGAGTTTGAGACCAGCCTGGGTAACAGAGCGAGACCCCAACTCTACAATAATAATAATAATAAACAATAAAAAATTGTTACAATGGTAAATTTGAAGTTATGTGTATTTTACCATAATTTTTAAAAATTAAAAGAACAAGACAAAAATTGCCAAAAAAATACAGGTACCCAGTAAATGTTGTAGCAGATATAAACCATAAATTATATGACAAAAATATCAAGATTTTAATAGCCAGTCTGGGCAATATAGTGAGACCTGGTCTCTACAGAAAAGTTCTTTATAAAGTTAGCCCTGCGTGGTGGCCCATTTCTGTGGCACAGCTCCTTGTGAGGCTGAGGTGGGAGAATCAAATGAGCCTGACAGATGGGGGCTGCAGTGAACCATGATCATGCCACCCACTACACTCCAGCCTGGGCAAGAGAGGCAGATCCTAACTTTAAAAAAAAGAAGTAGAAGAAGAGAAGAACAAGAGGAAGGAGAAGGAAGAGAGGGAGGGAGGGAGGGAGGGAGGGAAGGAGGGAGGGAAGGAAGGAAGAAAGTCAGTAGTCATGGTGAGGTCGAGATGAAACTCGCTCCATTTTCTCTGTCTGCATTTCCTCATCTGGAAATAAAAATTCTACCTGCTGGTGGGAGAAATTGCTACTGCCCACCCGACATCGGGGCTTCCCTTGTACTTTGCTGGTGGCAGTGGCCATTGAGATGCAGGGGAAGGTTGTCGGGGCTTCAGGAAAATCCCTCTTCTGCCCCTCGCCTCTTCCTCACACCCCCTCACTAGGCTAGAGGCTGGGTGGCGGCCCTCTGGTTGGCATATCAGGTCATGATGCAAATGGAAAGATGGAAACTTGGGACTAAATCTGGCCAGCATAAGACAGAAACAGCCTGGAAACTGACGACCAGGAGATCTCCCGCAGCCTTGGACTGCTCACCTCCAGATACCATGAGCGAAGGAAGGAAATACACCTCTTGGGTCTAAGCCACTGTGATTTCTGGTCTCTGTTACTTGCAGTTTTGTGCAATTCTCAACTGATAAACTTTCTCTTAAGTGTATGATGACAATGAAACAAGATGATGTTAATAAAATATGTCAATGTGCCATTGCATCAAAAGTCCTTAAGGTAGTATTATCTCTTGTCTCTGAGCAAAGCAATCAAACACTTTTTACAACTTCGCCATAATCACAAATCATTTACTCAGGGAATGTTTTAAAATATCTACGGGCCGGGTGCCGTGGCTCACACCTGTAATCCCAACACTTTGGGAGGCCCAGGAGGGGGGATCACCTGAGGTCAGGAGTTTGAGACCAGCCTGGCCAACATGGTGAAACCCCTTCTCCACTAAAAATACCAAAAATTAGCTGGGTATGGCGTCACGCACCTGTAGTCCCAGCTACTCAGGAGGCTGAGGCAGGAGAATCGCTTGAACCTGGGAGATGAAGGTTGCAGTGACATGAGATCGCGCCATTGCACTCTAGCCTGGGCGACAAGAGCAAAACTCCACCTCAAAAAATAAAAACATAATAAAGTATCTACAGAGTTACCAAATATATATGTCTCCCAAAGGCATTTATTGCCAATGTTCTGCTAATATTAGAACACACTGGGATCAATTTCAAAATTACCCAAAAGTGGGAGAAAAAGTCACTTGTTTTCTAAACTAGGTTGATTTTATTTCCCGGGTGAACTTGAGTGGTGTTGGGAAATTGTGATCTCAGTGTGCTCATTTCCTACACGAAAATAAGACCTCAAAACGTCTCCAAAGTAGTCACTTGATCTTACTTATGAGAGGCACAACAAAATGGATACTTTTTACTCCAAATTCTCCTGTGTTCTACATTACAAAATCAATATATTTTGGAGGAAGAAGCTTTCAATCTTCAGTTCTCCCAAAGGCACCGTTGGTGCAGGGGGCAGGGTGAGGGTGAAGTAAAGGGCTGGCGATGAGGTGTGGCTCACTCCGAGTAAGCCTGGCCCTCGCCCCGCCATGGAACAGCGTTCAGTGCCTGTCAATTGACACCAGTCTTCCCAATGCACAGCCCTTCAAGATGGTCAAGGCTGGGTGGGTTCCCAAGGTCAGGGGAATTTGCCAAGAGAGGAAAGAAACAAACATGTAAGTTTACCTGCAACACAGAAAGTCCTCATTCCCGCCCCATTAGAATAGGATATAATTCTTTTTTTATTGTTCTTGTTTTTTTGAGACAGAGTTTCGCTCTTGTTGCCCGGTTTGGAGTGCGCTGGTGTGATCTTGGCTCACCACAACCTCTGCCTCCCGGGTTCAAGCGATTCTCCTGCCTCAGCCTCCCGAATAGCTGGGATTACAGGCATGCGCCACCATGCCCAGCTAATTTTGTATTTTTAGTAGAGACGGGGTTTCTCCATGTTGGTCAGGTGGGTCTGGAACTCCCAACCTCAGGTGATCTGCCCACCTCAGCCTCCCAAAGTGCTGGATTATAGGCATGAGCCACCACGCCATGCCAGGATATATTTTCAACAGGATTCCTTTGGCAAAGCATGTTGCGGGGCTCAGGGGTGCTGGTAGGAAATTATCAGGATTGTAGCATTCACATCTGTACCTTGTAAGGGGCTTACTCTCCAAGTCATTAAGAAGACACTCAAACACAAACTCGAAGTTAGTTAGCATATGTACAAATTGTGTTTTCTTAGTAGTTTCTAGAGTTTCAGCCAAAAGCTTCATAAAGAAAGAAGAGAACAAAGAGTTTGAGAGATGGAGATGAGGAACATTATTGAGAGACAGAGCTTGCGATTTTTTTTTTGGAGAGAGAGTTTCGCTCTTGTTGCCCAAGCTGAAGTACAGTGGTGCGATCTCGGCTCACCACAACCTCCGCCTCCCAGATTCAAGCAATTCTCCTGCCTCAGCCTCCCGAGCAGCTGGGATCACAGGCGTGCACCACCACGCCCAGCTAATTTTGTATTTTTAGTAGAGATGGGGTTTTTCCATGTTGGTCAGGCTGGTCTCAAACTCCTGACCTCAAGTGATCTGCCTGCCTCGGCCTCCTAAAGTGCTGGGATTACAGGTGTGAGCCACCGCGCCCAGCCAAGCTTCAGATTTTAACTCAGAAATGAAACACTGGAAAGGCTGAGTTGACATCCTCTGTTCTTTGGTTCCCTATGTCATTCTAAATCCCTTCTAACCCAGTAAGAGGATGGATGGATGGATGAATGGATGGATGGATGGATGGATGAGCAGACAGATGGACGGATGGATGGCAGATGGATGATCAGTTAGACCAACTCAAGAAAATAGGGAATAAGATGGAAAAGAATGCATCCCTCCCCATCATTTCCTAAAAAGCTACAAGGGGAAAGTAATCTATGACCTACCTTCACAAAACCTGGCAAGAAACTGATAAATTGGGAATTGACCCTGAAGCTCAAGGCTCAGATGGAGTTCAAGCTTCATTAAAACAAATTCTGAAGGACAGGTTGACATTTTATTCTATTGTATTTTGTTATACTGATTTTTTTACAGCTCAAATAATTGGGCCACAGTAGATCTTTTTTAAACTGAAGTTTGTGTGTGGTGTGTGATGTAATTTGTTTTGCAATATCAAATGAAATTGCCATGCTCTATTTGCCTTCAGCCACAAACTAACAGTCAGCTCCCACCCCCGCCCTCTACAGCAGCGGGAAAAGTCAGCCCAGATCTACATTGCCCACAAGTTTCTCACCTCTGTATCCTCCTTGGACGGCCTTCTAATTGCAGGCCCTTTTGCTCCCCTCACCATGGGCAAGTCTTAGGTGGAAGCTGGAGCACCAATGGCTTCTGGGGGTGTCCAGACTTGCAATCCCAAGACACCCGGCCCCCTGCTCTTATCCTCTCCTTTCAGGTCAGGTCTCAGATCCGGATTCTTTAAGGGCCAACTTTGCATTCTGGGCTAGTGAATGACAACTAGGGCACACCCTCTTCTCAACAGCCTGCACCTGATTCCCTTTTAAAGGGGAAATTACATTTCTCGTTAAGACTGAAAGAGGCTGCTGAACCTTGCAGAAGATTACTATGTTGTTCTCAGGACAGCTGGAGGAATTTCTGAAAGAGTAGGTATAGGTAAGGGGCAGAGGGAAGCTTTGCTCTTGTAAACATTTGCTCACAGCCATTGTTTAGAATTAGGGGGCAGGTTCATGCCCATCCTGTCAGCCACATCCTGCAGGGTGGCAGGCATGCTGTAGCCCCTGGTATAGGCCATGGTGCCCACCACCCTGGAGCTGTCTGTGCTGTACATGCAGCCGCCTTTGCTATGCCAGGAGTCACTGAGGGCCAGGTGTGAGCCGGTCTTGGGTCAACTCTGTGGGCCTCAATGTCCCTGCTTCTGTTCATTATTCCCATACAGACATCAGTGTTCCTGACTTCCCTGATTACCGTTACACTGAGATTTTTGATGGGACAAAGTCTTCAAAAGAGGGTGGCGAGGCTAGGAAAGGGTTCTCCTGTTTGGTAACTGCAACAGCTGCTGTGGGTGTCACATATGCTGCCAAGAATGTCATCTCCCAGCTTGTTTCCAGCGTCGATGCTTCTGCTGATGAGTTGGCCATGTCAAAAATTAAAATCAAGTTATCTGATATTCCAGAAGACAAGAACATGGTTTTCAAATGGAGAGGCAAACCCCTGTGTGTATGCCATAAAACCGAAAAGGAAATTGTCCGAGAAGCTGCAGTTGAAGAGTTCCAGTTGAGGGCCCACAGCATGATTTCAGGGCCAGGCGCCGTGGCTCACACCTGTAATCCCAGCACTTTAGGAGGCCGAGGTGGGTGGATCACTTGAGGTCAGGAGTTCGAGACCAGCCTAGCCAACATGGCGAAACACCATCTCTACTAAAAATACAAAAATTAGCTGGACATGGTGGCATGCGCTCATAATCCCACCTACGCGGGAGGCTGAGGCAGGAGAATCACTGGAACCCAGGAGGCGGAGGTTGCAGTGAGCCAAGGTTGCACCATTGCACTCCAGCCTGGGAGACACCGCAAGACTCCGTCTCAGAAAATAAAAAACTAAATTAATTTTAAAAAGAAGTAAAGGATGAGTGCAATGCTTATCAGGATAACCTATTTGGGTTTCTTTACTCGGCCTTTGCATTTATCCTCTTATGCACCCACAACAAATGAAGATTTTGCTGGTGATTACTGCCCTTGCTGTGGGTCACACAGATGCGTCTGGCAGGATCTGGAAGGGGCCTGCCCCTCTTGACCTTGAACCTCCCTCATATGAATTCACCAGAGATGAAACAGTCATTGTGGGTTAGAGACTGCAACCCAAGTCAAAGGCTTCTTTCAGTCTTTGTGTCACCATAGAAGAGTCATTTGAGAGCAAGCCTTCTGAACTTCAAGTTGCTTGATTTGAAATATTTAAGAATTGATAATAATGTATTTGCAAACATTACTGTGAAGTAAATTGTAATTAATGTTGAATACTTTCAAGCGTTCACTTAATAAAACAACTGTTAAACATTGTTACGCTGTCATACACTTGAAAGGTACAATGTCTTTTAGGTAATTCTAATTTTTTACTTTAAAATTATTTATTTATTTATTTATTTGTGTTTTTTTGAGACAGAACCTCGCTCTGTCTCCCAGGCTGGAGTGCAGTGGTGTGATCTCGGCTCACTGCAACCTCTGTCTCCCAGGTTTAAGTGATTCTCAGCCTCAGCGCCCTGAGTAGCTGGAATTACAGGCATGCACCACTATGCCCAGCTAACTTTCATAATTTTAGTAGAGATGGGGTTTCACCATGTGGGCCAGGCTGGTCCCAAAATCCTGGCTTCAAGTGATTAACCCACCTCAGCCTCCCAAAGTGCTGGGATTACAGGCATGAGCCACCGTGCCTGGCCTAATTCTAATTTAAAACTACAGGATGGTATACAAAAAAAAAAAAAAGAATTAAGGGTCAAAGGCTGGTGATCCATTTAAGCACAGAGTTCTTGTTAGGTAGCTGTTGAAAAGGACAGTAATGAGCTGAGAGCCTGAAAACTGTCCAGTGACCATGGCAGCATGGGATTGGAGGATTTCTTATGCCACCACCTGCATCCTGTCTTATTCTGTTCTTCCAGTTCAACCGTCACTGACAGTATCTCCTCACACCCAGGGCTTTACAACCACCTTTTCTATAATCCAGAGAGGTGGAGATCATTATTTCCATTGGGAAAGAGGGGAACAACTCCTTTTCTTTCCTGACGGCAGCCATGATAAAGCATCGAAGTTGGAACTCAAACATGTACACCGTCTGACCTTAGCTATCATTCTGTTGCTCAACCTCATCAAGTTAATATTTACTGAGCATCTAATATGTGCCTTCCACTGTGCTGGACAAATCATGACACTGGCATGGAAGGTGACATGGAAGCTTCCTTTTAGGTTTGAGCGATGCTGCTTCCATGAGCACCAGACAGCTCTACTGCACACAGGGCACGTGGGCACTTCAAAAACAGGGTCTCGTCAAAGCATGATTTTGAATTTAATCAGTTCTTCTGGAACTTTATGAACAGTGAAAATTTAGAACTGGCCAGGCGCGGTGGCTCACACCTGTAATCCCAGCACTTTGGGAGGCTGAGGTGGGTGAATCGCTTGAGGACAGGATTTCAAGACACAAGCCTTGCCAACATGGTGAAACCCCATCTCTACTAAAAGTACAAAAATTAGCCGTTCATGGTGGTGGTTGCCTGTAATCCCAGCTACTCAGGAGGCTGAGGCTGGAGAATTGCTTGAACCCAGGAGGTGGAGGTTGCAGTAAGCTGAGATCGCACCGCTGCACTCCAGCGTGGCCCTGAGACAGAGCAAGGCCCTGTCTCAAAAAAGAAAAGAAAAGAAAATTAAAAATTAAATACTATTAAGTACTTTGTAAATTATAAAAACACGGGCCGGGCGCGGTGGCTCAAGCCTGTAATCCCAGCACTTTGGGAGGCCGAGGCGGGTGGATCACCAGGTCAAGAGATCGAGACCATCCTGGTCAACATGGTGAAACCTCGTCTCTACTAAAAATACAAAAAATTAGCTGGGCATGGTGGCACGTGCTTGTAATCCCAGCTACTCAGGAGGCTGAGGCAGGAGAATTGCCTGAACCCAGGAGGCGGAGGTTGCGGTGAGCCGAGATCGCGCCATTGCACTCCAGCCTGGGTAACAAGAGCGAAACTCCGTCTCAAAAAAAAAAAAAAAAAATTATAAAAACACTACCAAAAAAGATAATTATACTTAATTCTACCGGTATAGTTACCATAAAGATAATAATCCACATGGATAAAGGCTATTCAGACAAAATGGTCAGTGAGGCCAGGTGCTCACACCTGTAACCCAAGCACTTTGAGAGGCTGAGGTGGGAGGATTGCTTGAGCCCAAGACCAGCCTGAGCAACATAGTGAGACCCCCCTATGCTATGGGTATAGCACCTCTACAAAAAACTAAAAAACATTAGCTGGGCAGGGTGTACATACCTGTAGCTCCAGTTACTCAGGAGGCTGAGGTGGGAGCAACATTTGAGCCCCGGAGGTTCAGGCTACAGTGAGCTGTGATCACACCACTGCACTCCAGCCTGGGCAAGAGTGAGATCCTACCTTTTTCTCTATATATGCAAACATATATATATACACTACACACACACACACACACACACACACACACACACACACACACACACATATATATATATATCTCTTATCAGGTGCTTAGGAGTTTGCTAGTGCAGGTACTTAAGAAATGACTAATGACTTTGGGGCCCACAGAGCCAGAGAGTAACAGGCCAGACCGCCTGTAAGCCAGAGAGCCAGGTGTCTCCCTCCCGGCACACCAATTTCCAAACTTGTCTCCCAATCTCTTTCTCCAGCATAACGTGCATGGACAGTAAACAAATGATGATATCATGTTACCACACTTCATTTCACAGGATTTAGCAATCCAGAGAGACACGGGGGAGGCCCTCCCTCCACACAGAGAACATGATCTGTTCTTCCTCAGTGAAAATCCATGAGAAAGTTTCTAAGCTTGTAATACTTAGCCCTCGACAAGGGATAAAGGTGTTTGAGGAAGGAGGAAATGAGGAAATGGAATTCGCATGATCCTTCTCTGGGATTAGTGTGTGTAGCTCTGTTGTTCAGCTTTGGCCTATAATTGTCGATACTAAATCGCATGGAATAATTTTTCCTTTTTTTTTTTTTTGAGACGTAGTCTCACTGTCACCCAGGCTGGAGTGAAGTGGTGCAATCTTAGCTCTCTGCAACCTCCACCCCCAGGGTTCAAGCTATTCTGCCTCAGCCTCTGGAGTAGCTGGGATTACAGGCCCTTGCTGCCACACCCAGCTACTTTTTTGTATTTTTAGTAGAGACAGGGTTTCGCCATGTTAGCCAGGCTGACCTCGAACTCCCGACCTTGGATGATCCACCCGCCTTGGCCTCCCAAAGTGCTGAGATTAGAGGCGTCAGCCACTGCACCTGGCCGAATAAAGATATCTTAAGGAAAAAGTGAATGACTCAGATGTTTATTTTCTCAAATATAATATTTAAAATATTGCAAGAAGACATCCGTTTAGTATTCTCCCTTCATTTCTCAATTACTTTATTATTTGAGAATTAATACCCCATACGAAGACAAAATAACTTGCCAAAGTCATTCCTCTCTGACATGATTAAGTCATATCCAATCCACAGGCTGATATCCAAATAATACATAGCTTCATGCTTCAGGTGAGCCAAGAACAATCTTTCCATTGAATGCCATGCACGGGCTGATATCAAAGACAAGACTGAACTTCTTTCATTGGCACAGAGACCGCTGCGGGAGGTGTGGCCTCAGCCTACTCCTCAGCTGTGCCGTCCAGGATGTGTTTAAAGGAGAATGGAGAGAACTTGTAACCATCCCCGACATAGAACTTGTTCTGGAACTCGACCCTGTTGCCGAGGGGAGGGCGTGGGGTGAGAAAAAGGAGATTGAAACCCATCATTCAGAGGCTAGAAGGTGGAGGGAAGGAGGAAGCAGAGCATTTGTAAAATCAAGCACAAGGTCGAAGGGTCGGCCACGGAAGGCACCCAGGCTGATGGCTGCCATGAGAATCCCAAGGATTCTTTTTTTCTTTTTTTTGAGACAGAGTCTTGCTCCATCGCCCTGGCTGGAGTGTAGTGGTGCGATTGTGGCTCACTGCAACCTCCGCCTCCCAGGTTCAAGAAATTCTCCTGCCTCAGCCTCTCAAGTAGCTGGGACTATAGGCACATGCCACCATGCCTAGCTAACATATATATATATATATATATATATTTTTTTTTTTTTTTTTTTTTTTTTTTTTTTGAGATGGAGTTTCTCTCCTGTCGTCCAGGCTAGAGCGCAATGGTGCGATCTTGGCTCACCTCAACCTCCGCTTCCCAGGTTCAAGTGAGTCTCCTGTCTCAGCCTCCCGAGTAGCTGGGATTACAGGCTCCTGCCATCACACCCAGCTAATCTTTTCTACTTTTAGTAGAGATAGTGTTTTGCCATGTTGGCCAGGCTGGTCTCAAACTCCTGACCTCATGTGATCCAGCCGCCTTGGCTTCCCAAAGTGCTGGGATTACAGGCATGAGCCACCATGCCCAGCCTAATTTTTATAATTTTAGTAGAGACAGGGTTTCATCATGTTGGCCAGGCTGGTCTCAAACTCCTGACCTCAAGTGATCCACCCACCTCAGCCTCCCCAAATGCAGGGATTACAGGCGTGAGCCACTGCGCCCAGGCCATGAATCTGAGGACTTTTTAAAACCTTCTCTCCCCTGTCTCTGACCACCTTCCCTTTCCCCTCCCCCT